CTCTTATATTTTTAATTACAAAAACGCCATTTTGCTCAATTTTTATAACATCATGTTTGTAATTTAAGAATGTATCTTAGTCTGTTCCGCTTTCTGTTTCCTTAGTTATCTGCTTTATCAGTTTTTCTGCTGATGGTATTTCTGTTTTCTGCTGCTTGTTCTCGTCATGTTCTTGGCAATCCATGGATTTCTGTTAATATTTAGGACAGAGTGATGGGGTAGCTGGTGTGGCTTTTCCCTCTTACTGTGTGAACAGGCTTGTTTTCTCTAATTATGAATTCTCACTGGATGCTCTTCGCAGGGTGGTCAGGGCATGCCGTGTGACATGCTGGTTGCACAGCTCCCTCCAACCACCTCTCACTTTTTTAATAGTAAGACTCCTTGACAGTGTTGTCTGGGTTTGCTATCTTCAATTTCTCTTCTCCTGTTTTTCTTCAGCCACTTCAGTTAGAGTTGCATGTGCCGACATGCTCCCAGTGACTTCCATTTTGCCAATTAATTCTGACTTGGTTTTACTTGGCCTCTTGGCTGCATGACCACGCCTTCTTCTTGAAATACTGTCTTCATTCAGCTTTCAGGACATTGTTCTCTAGGTTCTTCTCCTGCTTTGCTGTGGCTGATCTTCCTCACTATCATTTGCTGATTTCTCCCCATCTTCTTGACCTCTAAAGAGGAATGTCCCTGTCCTTGAGACTCTCTTTCTCTGTCTGCCCTCATTCTAAGGGATCTTGTTATCTAGAGGTTTAAATTCTAGATAGAATTTGGCAAACTTTTTCTGTGAAGGGCTAGATTTTTAATTTTATATGTGTTTTTTTTAGGTGTTTGGGTTTTGTGAGCCACATGGTCTTTGTTGCAGCTACTCCACTCTGCTGATGCAGTGTGGAAGCAGCCATAGACAGCACGTAACTAAATGGGCACGACTGTGTTCCAGGAACCTTTACTTATAAAAAAGCAAAGAGAGGACCGGGTTTGGCCCGGAGCCTTAGTTTGCCGACCCCTGTATTGGATGATGGCCTCTAAATTTATATTTCTAATCTGAACCGTTCCTCAAATCCAGACTCTCATGTCAGTTGCCTATTAGATCTTCATGTGGAGGCCTGGTAGGCCTCTCAGAATTAATGTGCTCAAAACTGAACTCCTGATTTTCTGCCCAGACCTGTTCCACTTACAATCTTTATCATTTCAGTAAATGGCAACTTCATTCTCCCATTTGCCTAGTTCAAAAAAACCCCTGTGACTTCTTTTTCTTACTACCCATATCCAGTTGAGCAAATACAGCTTGTTCTACTTTCAAAGTAGCCCCAGAGTCCAGTCACTTCCCACCACCCTGGTCCAAGCCACCTTTGTATTTTGTCTGGAGCACTGCAGTCATCTCTTCACTTGTCTCCTTCAGTCACCACTGCTCGGCCCCTTCCTTGACTTCAGCGTACTCTGCACGCAGCAGCCACAGGTTCTCTGAGAACCTCAGTAAAATCATATTCTCCTCAGCTGAAAAGCCAGCAGTGAGCCCTCATTCACGTAAAGTGAATATCAAGTCCTCACAGTGGCCAAGAGGCCCTCACGTCTGCTTCTCCATTAACTCTGATCTTATGTGCTTGGTCTCCACTTCTCCAGTCTTATTAACCTGCCAAGCCTGCTCCCTCCTTGGGCCTTTTCACTTACCTGTTTCTTCTGCTTGGGATAGCCTCATGGTCTGCTGTCATTTCCTTCAAGTTTGGCTGAAATCCTTATCTTTGAGGCTTATTACAGTGTTTTCTGACACCAAATATTTGTCATTTCCTACACTAGCTCACCAGTTTTGATATTGACTACCCAGAGTTATCATCAGACTTCACAGGTTTACAGGCTCAGTTCTCATTTCAGATGCCAGCCACTAGTCCGAGGGGCCACATGCACTTCTTCTGCCTGATCAGCTATAAATTTGAGGGTTCCCACAATCCTCTCCTCAGGTGTGATAATTTTTAAAGTGACTCATAGAACTCAGGAAATCACTTTACTTACATTTACTGGTTTATTATAAAGGATACAGCTCAGAAACAAAAAAATGGAAGAGACGCATGAGGCAAGGTATGGGGAGACAGGTGGGTATCTGGGTGTGCCACCCCCTCAGCATATAACTGTGTTCACCAACCCCTCTCATTTGGGGGTTTTTATAGTATTTGATTATTTAGGCATTGATTAAATCATTGGCCATTGATTGAACCCACAGGAGAAAGGGTGCTGAAAGTTCTAAACCTGTAATCACCTGGTTGGTTTTCTGGCAACCAGTCTCCATTCTAAAGCCACCTAGGGCCTACAGCCACTGTGAGTCATTTCATTAACACACCAAAGACTGAGTTCCAAGGGTTTTAGGTATAAGAACTGGAGACAACGACCAAATGTTTGTATTATAGTATATGCACCTGTCCTGACCTTCTCTGTGTAAAATGACAACTCTTCCCCATCCCTCCAAAACTGTTCTTGCCATTATCCTGAGTTCTTCCGTAGCACTATTCACCATCTGATATACTGTGTATTTTCTCATTTCTATGTTTATTTTCTCTTTGTCCATTAGAACATAAGCTCCTTGAGGGCAGGGACTGTGTGTGTCTTGTTCACTGGTGTGTAAAACTGCCCAGAACTGAGACTGGCATAGTAGCTGCCCAGTAAGCAAATACATGCTTGGCAGGCTTAGCTAAGCAAAAAAGAGGAAGGTGTTTTCCTGGGGTGCTGACACCTGGCTAGAAGTTGTAGCTTTACCCAGACATTTGATCTGTTTGTGTAGAGATATGGAGGTGTGCTGCCTGGGGGCAGAGGGTACATGTTTTCTAAGCTGTTAGTACACTTGTCCTGTGTACACTTTGTCTACCTGTTGGCTCTTCTCTGCCCACGGCTCCCTCCCATCTCTGCTGTTGTGGTTGACTGAGCCCAGAGACTCTGGGGTTATGTCAGTCCTAGGACATCTCCCCAGGACCTTTCCTGCCTGTCAGCCTGCCTCTGTTTGTTGTCTGTTTTCCAGAATATTAACATTTCTCATATTTCCCATTCTCTTCACTCTTCAGTATTTTTTTGGTACATCTGTGTGTTTATTCTAGTGGGGGCAAAGCAGCTGGAATTGGCAAAAAGCCAATTTAGATTTAGTCCCGTATATACTTAGAGTGAGGAAAACATGGTGGAATGAATGACCTCTATAAAAATACTTGAGAAAATGGTAAAAGTGAGAACAGCATTTGTGTTTATGATGACAGATGTTAGTCACTGGGAAAGTTTTTCATGACAAATGCCCCATGCCCTTGCCAACAGAGGTACATGAAGACAGCACTTTGCTTATTTAGCCTGCTGTAGACTGTGACTTTTTCTCCATTAGGGATTCGCAGCAGCTCTTGCTGAAGCCGTCTCCTCCATAGACCTACCGGTGGCAGTTATCAATCTGAAAGAATATGATCCAGACGATCATCTCCTAGAAGAGGTTGGTAATTGTCTTATTTTTGCTTCAGTCAAAACTCAGATTTAATGGACTCCCTGTGTTCTGGGATAGATAGAGTCTTCAGAATAAAGTGAATCTTCATGCTGAGGGAGTTCAGTTGGCTGAGTTTCCAGTGTCAATCAAAGGCATTGGAGGGTGGTTTGGTACACCGACTCTGAAGCACTGTGCAGCCTCTGTCTCATGTAAGACTCTCCTGGGCTGGGGGTAATGTGGGAAAACTTGGGTGGTTTGAGGGTCCCTCTGCCCTCTGGCTTCAGACCTCGTAATCTAGGAGGGTTGTTACTGATGTCAATTACTGTGCTTGTGAAGCCTATATGCCTACTGGAAGGTGAGGAGCCCCATGGGGAGCAGAAGGAGTATGGGTTTTGGAGTTAGAGAAATCCCTTGCTAGTTGTGTGACGACCTTTCTGTATTATTTAATATCTCTGCGAGTTGATTTTTCACCTGAGAAGTGCCCCTCTCTCTCCTCTAGCCCTACCCCACTTAGGGAAGCTTGCCTTACAGTAGTGCTTCTTGAAGTGTGGTTCTTGAATGAGCCATATCAGTGTTGCCTGGGGACTTGTTAGAAATGCAGACTCTCAGGTCCTAGCCCAGCCCTACTGAACCAAAGTCTGGACGTGGGACTGCAGGTGATTCTGAAGCAGCTTAGAGCATGGGCAGACCAACTTCTTCCGGAAAGAGCCAGATAGTATCTGCAGCTTTGTGGGCCATGCAGCTACAGTTCTGCCTTTGAAGCTACAGTTCTGTGTTTGAGGCACCAAACAGCTGTAGACAATATGTAAATGAGTGAGTGTGGCTGTGCTCCAATAAAACTTTATTGACAAAACCAGGTGGTAAGGTGGATTGGGCCTGTAAGTGTAGTTTGCCAGCCCCTCCTTGGTGGATAAACTTCTAGCTATAACTGTCTGTTTTTCTCCCACAGGAAAACACTGGAGTGCAAGTGAATGAGCTTGAATCTGCTCTAAATTATTTGTGAAAAATTGTTAGCAAACTTTGACACTTAATAATTATTAGGTTGGTGCAAAAGTAATGGCGGTTTTGGACCTTGATTTTTAAATAATTATAACTAGGATCAAACACATCTTTATTAATCAAAGTAGGAACAATTACAATCATCACATTTTTGCCAATGAGAAGTAAACGTGTTTATTCCTATAGCGTAAAAATCCATGCTTCGGGATTTGATCAACTCTTGAAAAGCATTTTCTGCATCCCTCTGGTTGTGGAAGTGTTTTCCCTGCAAAAAGTTGTTCAGATGCTTGAAGAAGTGGTAGTCGGTTGGCGAGAGATCAGGTGAATATGGTGGATGAGGCAAAACTTCGTAGCCCAATTCGTTCAACTTTTGAAGCGTGGATTGTGCGATGTGCGGTCGGGTGCTGTTGTGGAGAAGAATTGGGCCCTTTCTGTTGACCAATGCCGGTGGCAGGCGTTGCAGTTTTCGATGCATCTCATTGATTTGCTGAGCGTACTTCTCAGATGTAATGGTGTCACTGGGATTCATAAAGCTATAGTGGATCAGACTGGCAGCAGACCACCAAACAGTGACCATAACCTTTTTTTTTTTGGTGCAAGTGTGGCTTTGGGAAGTGCTTTGGAGCTTCTCCTAGGTCCAACCACTGAGCTGGTGTCACCGGTTGTCGTATACAATCCACCTTTTGTCACACGTCACAGTCCAATTGAGAAATGGTTCGTTGTTGTGTAGTATAAGAGAAGACAACACTTCAAAATGATGATTTTTTTGATTTGTGGTTAGCTCATGAGGCACCACCCACTTATCAAGCTTTTTCACCTTTCAAATTTGCTTCAAATGCCGAACGACTGTAGATATTGAGTTCTTTGGCAACTTCTTGTGTAGTTGTAAGAGGATCAGCTTCGTTGATTGCTCTCAATTGATCGTTGTCAGCTACCGATGGCAGGCCACTATGCTCCTCATCTTCAAGGCTCTCATCTCCTTTGCAAAACTTCTTGAACCCCACTGCACTGCACGTTCGTTAGCAGTTCCTGGGACAAATGTGTTGTTGATGTTGTGAGTTGTCTCTGCTGCTTTATGACCCATTTTGAACTCGAATAAGAAAATCGCTCGGACTGGCTGAGTGGCTCGTTCGTTAACAGTTGGCTTGGGAGTGCAAGCTGTGAGCAGCAGGGCCACCGGTTCAGATCCCACATGGGCCAGTGATGCTGCGCCCTCTACAGCTAAGATGGTGAAAAGCAGCTTCACCTGGAGCTGGGCTGCTGTGAGTCGCTGGTGATGGTGTAGGCTGCAGTGGGGCTGCAGTAGGCTGCCATAAGTTAACCTGAGTGGCTAGCAGCCAGTGTGAGCTGCTGTGAGCCACCGTGGGCAGCCATTCAATGGCGGGTCACCGATCTGCCTCAGCTGGGAAGAGCGCAATGATCACAATACCAACATGGGCTAGTGAAGCTATGTACTCCACAACTAGACTAAAGAACAAAAGGATGGCAACTTATCTGTTCCCCTTCCCGGGTTCCCCAATGCTGTTCCCTCCCCCAAATTCCCAATAAAATCTTTAAAAAACAAACAAAAAAAGAAAATCGCTCAAATTTGCTTTTTGTCTAACATCATTTCCATAGTCTAAAATACGTATAAAATAAACAGCAAGTAATAAGTCATTAGCAAAAAAACATAAAGCAAGAAATGCACATTAAAATGATGTATAAAATAACTACATTTATTTAAGAATGTATTCCAATATCAAAGGCAAATTTCAATAATGAAATAAACCGCAATTATGTTTGCATCAACCTAATAGTAAAGGATCACTTACAATTTACCTCATGACTTGGAACTGTTAAGATACATTCAAGCAGATGAAATACTGTGACTAGCAGGACTGAAAATGTACTTTGTTTCCCTATGTAGATGATGGTGCCAAGTTGTTACTTTACGTTTAAAAAGTTTTATTGCTTTAATATTTCAGGTAATTTTTTAAGAAAGCGGTCTTTCTGTACTTTTTCCTGACTAATTTGCATTTTGTTTCCAGTATGACAAACTGCAGATGGTAGGAATTTATAGTCTGAGAAATGGAATGGAGTGTATGGTGAAGGGCACCAGGAGGTATATTGGCAAGGGATTGGGTTCTCTCCCCTGAGCAAGGTGTCCTTGCTGTGTTTTGAAATAATTATCTCCTTGCTTAGGTTACTAGTAAAAATGTTTGTGCCTTCCTGATTGCCACATATACTGATGGTCGACCAACTGAGAGTGCAGAGTGGTTCTGCAAGTGGTTAGAGGAAGCATCCAATGATTTTCGATTTGGCAAAACTTACCTGAAGGGTATGAGATATGCGGTGTTTGGTCTGGGAAATTCTGCCTACGCGAGCCACTTCAACAAGGTAGGTACAAGGTCTATGTTTAAATTGTAGGGATAAATTCTCTTAAAAAATTAACACATATACACGTATGTATGTGTATGTGAAGTAATCCACAAACTTTGGTACTTAATAAACTTATTGTTTAATTTTTATAGCTGGGAGTTGCTACACATATCCCAGCTTGATGTGTAGTAAGCTTTCAGTGAAGTTTTATTGAATAAAATGAATGAATATGCTTCCTGTTATCTAGTGTCTGAAGGGCCTGGATTCATGGGCCTCGAGTCCAGCCAGCCACCTGTCCCCAGGCAGGACCTGGTGGATGGAAGATCACAGATTCTTTGAACTTTCTTAACTGCCTGTCCTGTTGTTGAGTAACGTTTACTACCCAAGCTAACTCTTATTTATTTATTTTTTAAAAAATCATGTTTATTACTCTCATTAAAAGTTACTAATATAATATAGCATGGTTTTATACTGTGAATGATACTTTATTTCTTCACATGGTTATAAAGTCTGAGTGACTAGCTCACAATCCAAGGCAGTTTTATTTTATTTTATGTTATTTTCTTTTTTTTAAAAAAGATTTTATTGGGGAATTGGGGAAGGGAACAGTGTTGGGGAATTGGGGAAGGGGAACATTGTGTTTTTCCAGGACCCATCAGCTCCAAGTCAAGTTGCTGTCCTTCAGTCTTAGTTGTGGAGGGCTCAAACTGAGCTCCAAGTCCAGTCACCGCTCTCAATCTAGTTGCGGGGGCGGGGCAGGAATTGAACTGGCAACCTTGTTAAGAGCACGCTCTCACCAGCTGAGCTGCTGCTCAGCTCAAGGTGCAGTGTTCAATCTTAGTTGCAGGGGGCGCCACCCACCATCCCATGCAGGAGTCGAACTGGAAATATTTTTTAAGAGCATGCACTCTCACCAGCTGAGTCATCCTGCCACCTGTTGGCAGCTCAGTGGCAGCTCGCCTTGGTTGCAGCTCACTGGCCCATGTGGGAATCAAACCGGCAACCTTGTTCGGAGCACGCGTTCTAACCAACTGAGCTAACTGGCCTCCCCTTTAATCCATTTTGAATTTATTCTTGTATATGGCGTAAGAAGGTGGCCCAGCTTTATTTTTTTGCATGTGTCTGTCTAGTTTTCCCAGCACCATTTATTAAATAGACTGTCTGTACCCCAATGTAAATTCTTGCTTCCTTTGTCATAGATTAAATGACCATATAGGCATGGATTTATTTCTGGACTTCGTATTCTGTTCCATTGATCTATGTGTCTGTTTTTATGTCAATACCATTCTGTTTTGATTACAGTAGCCTTGTAGTATGATGTCAGGTAGTGTGATAACTCCCTACTTTGTTCTTATTTCTCAAGGTTGTCATGGGATATTTTAGGGTTCCATATAAATTTTAAGGTTATATGTTCTAGTTCTGTGAAAAATGTCATTGGTAATTTGATAGGGTTGAATCTGTATATTGCTTTAGTAGTATGGACATTAATTTTTCCTATGCATGAGCATGGTATATGTTTCCATTTATTTGTATCTTCTTTAATTTCTCTCTTCAATGTATTTTTTTTTTAAATTTTTAAATTTTATTTTACTTTTTATTTATTTATTTTTTTTAGCTGAGCCATCCTGCCACCTGTTGGCAGCTCAGCGGCAGCTCAGCTTGGGCCGGACTTGAACCGCTGTTGCTCAGAGTTCAAACTTTTGAGCGAGCTCTTAACCAACTGAGCCACTCAGCTGGCTCTCTCTTCAATGTCTTATAGAATATTGAGTACAGGTCTTTTACTTAAATTTATTTCTCAGTATTTTATTATTTTTGATGCCATTGTAATGGGTTGTTTTCTTAATTTCTCTTTTTGATAGTTTGTTATTGGTGTATGAAAATGCAATGGATTTCTGAATATTAATTTAGTATCCTGCCACTTAACTCAATTTATTTATTAGTTCTAATAGTTTTTTTGTGGACGCTTTAGGGTTCTCTGTATATAGTATCATGTCATCTGGAAATAATGACAGTTTTACTTCTTTTCTACTTGGATGCCTTTTATGAGGTCTGACAATTAAGTTCGCAAACTTGTTGGCAGTAATGTTTCTAACCTTGTTTTGATTGGGTTATTCATTATGAATTTGTACCAGTTGGACAAACAGTTAACCATGTTTACTATTTGGAAGTGCTGAAAAGGCTGTGTGAAAAAGTTAGACGACCTGAACTTTTTGCCAACAATTCATGGCTCTTGCATTGCAACAATGCACCAGCTCACACGACACTATCTGTGAGGGAATTTTAAGCCACTAACAAATAACTGTATTGGAACACCCTACATACTCACCTGATCTGGCCCCCAATGACTTCTTTCTTTACCTGAAGATATAGGAAATATTTAAAGTAAGACGTTTGGATGACATTCAAGACATCGAGGATAATGTGACGACAGCTCTGATGGCCATTCCAGAAAGAGTTCCAAAATTGCTTTGAAGGATGGACTAGGTGCTGGGGTGTGTGCATAGCTTCCCAAGGGGAGTACTTCGAAGGTGACTGTGGTGATATTCAGCAATGAAGAATGTAGCACTTTTTCTAAGATTAGTTCGTGAACTTAATTGTTCAACCTTGTATTTCTTTTTCTTGTCTGATTGCTGTGGCTAGGACTTCCAGTACTATTGGGTTGTCGGAAAAGTCATGATGCATTTTTGCAACGAGAAACAGACTTCTCCGACAACTCAATATATTGAGTAGGTGTGGTGATAATGAATTCCTTTAGCTTTTTTTGTGAAAGTGGGCTTCCTTGTCATGTTCCTGATCTTAAGGGGAATGCTTTTAGGTTTCCCCATTGAATATAGTATTAGCTGTAGATTTTTCATACATGGCCTTTACTATGTTCAGATATGTTCCCTCTATTCCCACTTTGCTGAGAGTTTTCATCATAAGTGGATGCTGGATTGTGAAATGCTTTTTCTGCATCTATTAATATGACCATATGATTTTTGTTTTTTATTTTGATTATGTGGTGTATCACGTACATTGAGTTGTGGATGTTGAAGCAACCTTGCATACCAGGAGTGAATCCCACTTGATCGTGGTGTATAATCTTTTTAATGCATTGCTGAATTCTGTGTGCTAATATTTTGTTAAAGAGTTTTGCATGTATGTTCATTAGGGATATCGGCCTATAGATTTCTTTGTTTTGTAATGTCTTTGTCTGATTTTGGAATCAGGGTAATTTTGGCCTCATAAAATGAGTTTGGGAGACTTTCCTTCTTTTGAATTTTTGGGACTAGTTTGAGGAGAATGGGTGTTAATTCTTTTATGAATGTTTGGTAAAATTCACTTGTGAAGCTATCTGCTCCAGGTGTTTTGTTTGTTGGGAGCTTGTTGATTACTGAGTTGATTTTGTTGGTAGTAATTGGTCTGCTCAGATTTTGTGTTTCTTCTTGATTCAGCCTTGGAAGATTGTATGCATCTAGGAATTTATACATTTTTTTCAGATTATCTCATTTGTTGGTGTATAGTTGCTCATAATATTTTCTTAAATTTTTTGTATTTCTCGGGTGTCAGTCTTTACTTATTCTCTGTCATTCCTGGTTTTATTTATTTGGTTCCTTTCTTTTTTTTCTTCATGATTTTGGTTAAATGCTTGTCAATTTTGTTCATATTTTCAAAAACCAGCGCTTGGTTTCATTGATCTTTTGTATTGTTTTTTAGTTTCTCTTTTGTTTATTTCTGCTGTGATCTTTATTATTTCCTTCCTTGTACTCATTTTGCACTTTGTTTGCTGTTGTTTTTGCAGTTCACCTAGGTTAGACTTTTTATTTGAGATTTGTTGTTTCTTAAGGTAGGCCTGCATTGCTATGAATTTCCCTCTTAGAAATACTTTTGCTGTTGCATAGATTTTGCATCATTGTGTTATCATTTTTGTTAATCTCAAGGTATCTTTTGATTTCTTCCTCGATCTCATTGTTGACCCATTCATTATTTAGGAGCGTGTTATTTATCCTCCATGTGTTTGTGTGATTTTCAGTTTTTTTCTTGTAATTGATTTCTAGTTTCCTAGCACTTTGGTCAGGGAAGATGCTTGATATGATTTCAGTCTTTTTAAATTTATTGAGACTTGTTTTGTGGCCCGAAATGTGGTCTATCTTGGAAATGTTCCATGTGCACTTGAAAAGAATGTATATTCTAGTGCTTTGAGATGAAATGCTTTAAAATTATCATTTATATCCATCTCGACTAGTGTGTCATTTAAGGTCACTGTTTCTGTGTTGAGTTTTCTGTCTGGAGGATCTGTTCATTGGTGTCAGTGGGGTGTTGAAGTCCCCTACTATGATTGTTTTACTGTTGATCTCTGCCTTTATATCAATATTCCTTTTATATATTTAGGTGCTCCTATGTTGGGTGCATAGGCGTTTAGTAGGATTATGTCCTCATGTTGGCTTGATCCTTTTAATTTTATGTAATGTCCTTCTTTGTCTTATTGTAGTCTTTGTTTTAACATCTGTTTTGTCTGATACAAATATTGCTACCCCAGCTGTTTTCTCATTTCCATTTGCATGAAATATCTTTTTCCATCCCTTTACTTTCAGTCTGTGTGTGTCTTTTGATCTGAGGTGGGTCTCTTGTACAGAGCATATGCATGGGTTTTGTTTTCTTATCTATTCAGCTACCCTATGTCTTTTATTGGAGCATTTAATCTATTTACACTTAAAGTGATTATTGATAGGTACGTAATTATTCCCATTTTATTATTTATATTTTGGTATTTGATTGTTTTCTCCTTTCTTTTTGCTTAAAGAAGTTTTTTTTAACATTTCTTGTAATTCTGGCTTGGTGATAATGAATTCTTTTAGCTTTTTTTTGTCTGGGAAGTTCTTTATCTCTTTCATTTTTAAATGATAGCCTTGCTGGGTAGAGTAGTCTTGGTTGTAGGTCCTTGTTTTCATCACTTTGAAAATTTCCTGTCACTTCCTTCTGTACTGAAAAGCTTCTGTTGAGAAATCTGCTGGTAGTCTTATAGGAGCTTCCTTGTG